CTGGCCAAAGTGTGCCCTCAAAATGAGGTTAGGGTAGGGTGGCATAGAACTCCTGTTGAAGTGGGTGCTATTTGTCTGAAAGCAAATTTCTGGAGAAGAAGGCAGGTCTGCTAAGCACAAGCCTCACAAGATCTGGGAGACAGGTGTTCTAGCTGGCTAAAAGGATCTGAGGGGGACACATTATGCATCAAATACCAAGTGTAAGCAACTGAGTCACTAGAATGTAAGATCATTTTTTACAGGAAAGATACTTTTTCAATTATTTCAAGCCCTTGACACAATTAACAAGAGTGTGTCTTATACACAACAGGTCAATTATTTCCAAGGAGAAAGAAAAATAAAGAAGGGGATTTCCTCAACCATGGAGTGTATAATAAAGCTGAACTGATTTTTAACAAAGTAGAAGAGTATGATGGCTTTTAGAAATCATACATAATAGGAGCTACATTTTTATTCTCAAGACCGTTTGGTTAGTTACCAAGTTCCCCCTGAAAATTAGTGTATGTCATGAGATATATACTCTCAAGTTGACACTGCTTATTTTATATTGGGTAGTTACTGAAATGACTCTTAAGGAGAACAATTAAAATGAAAAATATTTGTTATTATCCATTTGCCTTTGGGAATTTAAATGATGAGATTAAAGAGCAGAAGGAACTATCTTAAACACAGAGATAGTTTTGGATCAGTTACTTAGGCCTAAAGTTCAACAAGTCACATATTTGTCATCATCTTAAATGAACATGGCCTGCAGCTACCCAATAGGCAGGAAGTAATTAAAAGAACATTGGGGGTGGAAATCTCAAACATCAACTATACTGCAGCAGGACTGTGACTTGATTTGTTGTAGATGAAAGAGAAATGACATTCTTGAACTTAATTCACTTTAATCAACTCAATTCAGTTCAATTCAGTCATGCCTGATTCTTTGTAACTCCATAGACTGCAGCACACCAGGCTTCCCTGTCCATCACCAACTCCCAGAGCTTACTCAAACTCATGTCCACCTAGTCGGTGATGTCATTCAACCATCTCATTCTCTGTCATCCCCTTCTCCTCTAGCCGTCAATCTTTCCCAGCATCAGGGTCTTTTTCAATGAGTCGCTTCTTTGCATAAGGTGGCCAAAGTATTAGAGTTTCACTTTCAGCATCAGTCCTTCCAATGAATACTCAGGATTGATCTCCTCAGTGTAGACTGGTTGGATCTCCTTGCAGTCAAAGGGACTATCAAGAGTCTTCTCCAACACTACAGTTCCAAAGCATCGATTCTTCAGTGCTCAGCTTTCTTTAGAGTCCAACTCTCATATCCATACATGACTACTGGAAAAACCATTGGTTTGACTAGATAGACCTTTGTTGGCAAAGTAATGTCTCTGGTTTTTGATATGCTGTCTAGGTTGGTCACAGCTTTTCTTCCAAGGAGCAAGCATCTTTTAATTTCATGGCTGCATTCACATCTGCAGTGATTTTGGAGCCCAATAAATTAAGACTGCCACTGTTTCCATTATCTCCCCATCTATTTGCCACGAAGTGATGGGACCAGATGCCATGACCTTAGTTTCCTGAATGTTGAGTTTTAAGCCAACTTTTTCACTCTCCTCTTTCACTTTCATCAAGAG